TATCATATTCTTATCTAAAATTACACCAGAGGAAAATATAAATGGTATACACCCTTTTCTTCCTTTTGACATGACTCTCTAACTCGATTAGACATATTCATAGGAGATTTTTTAGGTTGAAGAACAGTGGACCAAAAAGATTGACGTAATTTAAACTCTCTTTCATCAGGTGTTGACAGAAACAAGTAGAAAGAGATGAGATTGTCCGAATGACTTGGTATAAGCTTGTGTAGATACCCTCTTTTCTCGTATACTGAGATAGAGAAATCAAGTTTTTCATCCTAAACTCACAAAGGGGTGTCGATCATTACGTTACTGCTGATACCATGAAAGTATCCTTCCGATTTAACTATTTCCGACCAAATGAAGGATTATTGTCTCGTTTATGGTCTTCTGATTGAATTTATTCCCCAAAGTAGTCTTGAAAAAAGCAAACAGCAAACGAGAAATTTATCTAGGAGAACAATTTACTCTTTTCTAGATGCTTTAATTGTTCGAACCCAGGATGAATTTATATCATTAGGTCCGACGAATTTATCAAGTCAGGGTCCGACGAACTTATAGCTTGCGCAATGATACCAATGGTAACACGCCATCAAAATACACCAGCAGTTCATAACGTGAAAAATAATTACGCTTTTCTCAGCAGTCAAAGTCTTGGAGGAGGGGTATGGGAGAAGGGGTGGCATCATAACCTACAATTGAAGACCTAATCCAAGCGTACCATGGTCAACAACATCCAACGAGGACGCCGCATCCCACAGGAGGACAATCATTTTATTTAGTTTCTTTCTCTCGCTTAGCAGCAGGCATCATATAATTTCCCTGGACAAAAATGGCCGGGAAGATACATCTTCTGCAGACGTGGTGGAGACCATATCTGCTGAAGAAATGGAAGAGATGCGGAGAATCGGGCTAGGTCCGGAACTAAGATATAGGCAGATTATATTTCGATAAGAATGGGCCTCTAGGGAACCCTAAGAACATGTTATCTCGGTTTAATGAGACGAATTAGAGTTCTTAATTGGATGTCATCAACAGCTTACTTTTGACCCGTCAACAAGAAGAAACCAAATACTGAATTACGTCCACGTAAGATCGGATATCCCGATCGGTCACTAAAGCTGCAGAATAGGATGCGAAGATGAAATCTAAGTTCTATAAGCAATTGCCGTATGTGCGTAAGCTGGAAACTGACTATTAAGTTTACCCAACTAATATACTGTGGAAGACCATGACTGGGTGAACGGAACTGAACACGAAGACAAGATAAGTTGCGACCGCCTCATCAATTCTTCAAGTTCCATTAAAAACTGAAAAAATATGATAAAATCCAGTGCTCGGTAAAATTTTATTTCGCCATGGCTGTATTTGCTTGGCAGCGTATGAAATTTCTAACATTTTGCGCCAAGATGCTGATAATGCTTGTGCATAAGGTTTCTGAAAATCCATTCCATCACAAGCCGTACAGTATGATTGTAAATGCCAGAGTAATTTTAGTTTCCAAAGCTGCCTCGTTATGCAAATATTATTTGTGATATGTTGCGTCATTTACTATGCAAGTAATTAAAATCCATAGAACGACAAGATGTGAACACAGTTTTTCTCAGACTTCTAGAGAGACAAAAGAACAGGTTCAGGTTTCTCTAGCTGTACCATATAAGGCAGACGAATTAGAGAAAGATTACTAGAGTTCCTTTCTTTTGTTGAGAGAGATACTTCAGAAATTCCAATGAAGCAGCACAACTATTGATAAGGAAAGTTAGTTGAGTGGCGGACTATAACATGGGTCATAGGAAATTTATAAAGGAAAACAAATTGTTAAAAAGTTTAGCCTTTTCAAGTGCTCTAGCCATCGGACCAAGATGGATTTGGATAGATTCAATGAACTGATCAAGTTAATGGTGGAGCATTAGGTTGGTCAATTTCACCGATGTTAACCTGTAACAAAATTCAGGACTAGTTTACTACGCATCTATAACCAGGGAAGTCTCAGCGGATGGAATTAGAACCTTCAAATTCATACGTACCTGGAGTGGAAAAGAGCTAGGGTTAGCGGGGGAAGGAGGGCCGGAACTCTTCGGGCGAAGCTTTACAGATTTTCCACGATAGTGAGCGGCCAGGCAACCCCGGCGACATGTCAATTCAGTAGAAAAGCGGCTCAAGTTAGCTCGGACGAGAGAGACATGAAAAAAGTCATTCAAAATACTTCGTTGGGAAGCTTTTCGTCTCCTTCAAGTAAACGTGATCCCCCTTTGGAAGGGAAGTCAACGAGAGTTTTCTTCCCGAAATAGGCGGCGTACAATGCCGCCTTCTATCGGTCCACACAATGAAAAGGAGGTTGAATATTGCATACAGCCTGACAAGAGAAGATGCAACATCCCCATCAATAACAAATGCTCCAGCTAGAACTATCACATTCTTTAACCAAAACCAGTTCAACCCATCCAATTTTTTCTGTAAGCAAGCGCTGCAGCTAGAGGGCAACCGTTCAATTTGTCCAACTAAGATACTGTGGACGACAGTGACCTCTGGAAGTGAACAGAATACGAGGAGATAAGGCTTTGACCGTTTCTCGTCCTCTATAAACTTCGGCATCTTTTGCTAATGTAGCATTATTATAAGGTTGTCCGTTTGGGGTGATGCTTCGTTAATAATCGCATCGCCCTGAGCTCGAAATTTGAGATGTTACCACCTATCATTTAGTAGGTAATCTTCGGACCTGAGCTGATATATTTACTCCCATAGTTTTAAAATATATATATTGTCTGAAAATCATGGCTCTTGATAAGTTGAATCCAATAGATTTTTAAATCACTCATTCATCTGCTATAAGTGTACAAAGAATGGTAACTACGAAGTCATAAAATATGATAAAGAATGAAGAAATTGCGGTTAAAAAGGACCAATTAATAATTTTAATTTCGTTAAATCTATATTATATTCATAAAGAATTTATTTTTTTACATAATGCAGCCAAATCCTTTAATTTGGGCCACGTGTTTATTAGAAGTTGATTAAGCTTTTTACAGGGTAATTATGATACTCTGATGTATTTTTTAAGTAATTATTTTATTAACTAATTATAATCGAGAACGAACCCAGCAGAATTTAAATTTTAGTTAAATCCATTATTTTATCCGACTCAGTCGGCATCTGCCCGCCTTTCGCCGGAGCAACGGTGAAGGGTAGGGGTTCAATTTGCACACGTCGGATTGTCATCTCCGTCAGTGGCAGGCCAACAGAGCCAATGATCGTATTTAGCTAACGGACCATCAACAGCATGACTGGTCCGAATATCTCCGTTACTCAACCACGAAAAAAGTGCTTCTATTAAACCCACGAAACTATTTAATTTTTTTTAAAACTCCTCCTTTTGCCACGGTCTCTTAAAGGATGACGGGGGATTATTAAAATTTATCTTCTAATAAATACATATTTGCAATAATCTCCAAATCAAACGGTTAGTAGACATTAGCTTATATACTGATATTTATATCCAAGCTAGTGGACCCAGCCACTCCTGAAGCTCAGATGGCCCAAATCGTTTTCCTGGGTCAGCCCGAAATTTGAAGTGGGACGGACCGGTGCGTAGAACTGCCTTGGTCGTCCTCCTACTGGCCCGAAGCCCATTAAGGAAGGCCCAAGTATTTGCAGCGCCGCTCGAGGTACAAGCTTGACCTGTAGTGTGACCGACCTTCTGCATCCTCCGCCGGCGGCGATTGTCCGTAGCCTGCGCTGGCGGTGGCCCTCAGACCCACAGCCGATAGCCTACCTCCTCCGAAGCCCCCGAAGGCAGCCTCCACTGCACCGCCGATGCTGGTAATACACGAGGGGAAACATGGGAGATACCTAGTTTTCTATGAACTTGCTGAAATGTATACTTTACGTATCATGTGTTCATTTGAATCGTAGGAGGTAGGGGGATGAGGAATATACACGCCTCTGAGAAGGATGGAGGCACAGAAAAAAATGCAGTCCATGCACCTACTGTCGACGGATCACTATTCCATTTTCCAAGTCAGAAAACTCATCTCTTCCATTTTGTGGGCATTATTCTCGGAACATAGAATACAATACCGGATTCGTCAAAGAAACCGCCCAGTCAGTTTGGTTGATACCATGAAAATGACGGGTTACTTTGCGTGAGCGACCTGATTCACTCGTAGTGGAGCTCTTAGGGGAAATGCTGATGAATATATTGCTTTATCTTGCTGTCAGGCCCCGAAAAGTAACAAGCGCTTTCAACTGCATCACGATGGAGAGAGATGTGTGAGAAAACGCGATACGCCAATAAAACGTATCTAGTCTATGGGACTTTGCTAATATATTTCGAAGGTTGTGAATTTTACTAAATAGGCACTTCAGCTAGATGTGAGAGAATTAGCTGCTGATAAAAAAATGCTAGTATATTCGGAAAATTTGATCTATCTAGATAATAGAGAACTGTTGGTGTCTTGTGAATGTGCAAGAAAGAGCATGTATTTATCTGAAATTCATGTTTCTAGAAGACAACCTTGGAATAGTTCCTTGAGTTTTCTGGTACGTTGTTCTTCTGTAATGTAAAAAAGATATTGCAACAATGGATTCAACCACCACCCAATTATAAAATACCATTCAGTTCCAGAAAAAAAGGAAAGAAAGCATGCACCAACTGGTTTCGGAAAGGATCTAAATTTACTTGAACGGTTTTGTGAACTGTTCGGATCTATGCTTTTAACTTTTAACTCTTTATTGATGTCTAGGAGAAAGCCATTTGGAAAATGGTCAATAGTAGGATCCAAATTTAGTCAACCTTTGTGAATGAGTTAACTTTTTCATCTCTTAATATCATACCTCCAGAAACTGGGCTTTATCACAGATGCAGTCTTTATAGGTTTTGTGTTTCTCTATGACTAAACAAATCGGTTAAATCTAGCTGCTCAGGAAAAATTGGGAGTCAACATCATTCATGGATCTCAGGGGAAAGAGAGAGAGAGATAGAGCCTCTTATCTTTGACCTACCTGTCTTCCTTCCAATCCATTTCCTCTCTTAGCGCCGCGATGTATTCCTCCTCATACTGTGATAGATCAGCATCCTTCAGACTTTCTCCGTACCATCTACCATCTTTCTGGAACACATGTGTGATTGCAAGTGGGATCGGGGGAATCTTTGTGTGATCGTCTAGGCCTTCACTCTGATGTCTTTTCAACAGACCATCCTTGCCGTGGTTTCGGCTTCTCAGGGTACCCACAAACTCCTGTGGCATCTCTTCCAAGTATAGCATTTCAAGTTTTTGGAGATACCAAATGCCCTGAGGAACCGCCATCAGTGTTCCACAGCGCACCAAATTGAGCTGACGCAGCTTTGGCAGTGCTACTTTCTCTATTTCAAGTTGCTGCAGATGGTCCATATCAACTAGACGTAGATCCTTCAGCTTAGGAAACCATCCCTCTTGGAAGACTAACCTCGGTCCATCATATGCCCTTACAAGCAGAAGGAAGACCAGGTTGGGTAATTTACAGATGGAAGGGAGCGGATCTTCCTTCAGTGCAGACCAACATAGCCGCAACCAAGTCAGGTTGTTAAGGGAGCCAACCCATTTGGGAGGTACCTCCAGCTTTGCACGAAATGTCAGCTTTTCTAGATGTGGAGGTGGGACAGATATGCTTTGTATGTTGAGTGATTCTTTCTCCTCTGCAGCCACAATGTCAAGTCTGTGAAGTTGGGTCATCTCGGTAATGGCAGCTGATAGATCTCCGCAGTGAATGGCCCTCACTTTCATTATTCTGAAGCTCCGCAGTTGGGTCATCTGCTTCAGCTTTCTGACCATCTTGCCTCCTGCTTCTACGCCTTGCAGAGTTTGCAGGTCTTTGAGATCCCATATCCCTCTTGGGGCCGGGAAGCCACTAAATTCACTGAAACTCTTGTGAGTCTGATCACCAATTGTGTGAACAAACAGGTGTCGGAGCTTCTTCAATTCTGCGATGCCATCTGGCAACGACTTTATCTTAGTGTAAGCAAGATCCAAAGTTTGCAGATTGATGAGTCTCTTTATTGACTTGGGGATTTTTCTGATCCTCGTTTTCCTGAGGCCCAAGTAATATAGGTTGAATAAGGTGAACACCCCATCAGGCACACTTTCTAGGAGGGTCCCCTGAAGATCTAGGACCCTTAGTAGCTTGAAGCTGAGTTTCATTGGAAATATCGTGGTATCAAAGTATATAAATGATCGAAGATGCAGCATGGTTCTTCTGTCAAAATGCATATTGCTGCCGCATCTGTGGACCGACAGTCGGCGGGCATCATTCGCTGAACTTGTATCCGTAGGTCCACGCACAGAGTAAAAGTCCTCTCTTTCAGAGATCGAGAGGGCCAGCTCTCGCATGATCGCATTCATCCTGCATGCTCTCACCCTCCCGAAATCATTCCTTTCTGTGACTTGAAGCATACATCGTTGGATGAGCTCGTTGAGGTTGTCCTCTGCCACCTCTTCCATGCTCCGTTTCCCTCTCTTCTTGATGAAGCCTTCGGCCACCCATAATCTGATCAGCCTCTTCCTCTTGATGGGGTAATTTTCAGGGAAAATCCCGCAATAGAGAAAGCAATTCTTTAGGTACTCGGGTAGATCGTGCAAGCTGAGCGCCAGAATGCTCTTCATCACACCCAGCTCCGGGTTATTATTCAGCACCCAGTTTATATCATCCAGAACTTTCTTCCATTCAATCTCTTTCTTCTGCCTCAGTGACAAGTAATTCCCTATCGACACTATAGCCAAGGGGAGGCCTTGACATTTGTTCACCAGTTCCCTGGCCTGGCTCTCCACCGCCGGAGGGCATTCCCTCTCCTTATCCTTCCAGAATGCCCTCCTACAGAACAGAAACCATGCCTCCCCTTCACTCAGATGTTCGAGCTCCATGACCCGGTTCCTTGTGGCCAGCGATGCCACGTTCTGGTACCGAGTCGTCAGTATTATCCTGCTCCCATGCCCATTGTCCAGAAATGAATCTCGGAGCTCATTCCACACATCTGTGCCGCACACATCATCCAGGATGATCAGGTACTTCTTCTCTTCCAAATAGTCGTGAAGGATCTGGATCAAATCCCTCCTGCCTAGGGTGTCGATATGTTGAGGAATCACCCCTTCCTTCTCCTTGAAGAACTCTCCCACAATCCGCCTCAGGAGCCCGTCAACCCGGAAGGCCTGAGAGACAGTGACCCAGGCATGGCAGTCGAAGTGGGCTTTGATTATCTTGCTCCTGTAGACCTTGGAAACCAGCGTCGTCTTCCCCAGACCGACCATCCCCCACACAGCGATGACCGTTCGGTGGGGCTCCCTGTCCAGCAACCACTGGACCAGCAGCTTCTTGTTCTTCTTTATCCCCACAATCTCTTCGTCGTCGATGAAGTGGGAGGAGTCGGCCAAGTTCTGCAGCGTCTCATTGGCCACACTCGGGTTGTCGCCCTTGGTTGTCTTGATCCCGTATCTTTCCTTCATGTCCCTCAGGTGGTGGAGCCTGTTCAAGATCTCCTCCAGTTCGTCGGCGATGCTGTGCCAGCCCCTGGAGATAGAAGGCCTGCGGAGGATCTTCTTCGGGAAGCCCCTGCTCTTTCTTCTGTGGCGCTCAGCCAAGAGGTAGATGTACTGGTCCATAGTGTCCTCCACTGCGAATGCCACCTCTCTTACCTGCTTCACCCAGGCTTCCAGGAGTCGGTCGTTCTCCTTCCTCGTGCCAATGTGGCTCAAGAAGGCTTGGATGACCTCGAACTCGCTCTTGATCTGGTTCATCCTGCTCCGGACCTGCGTCAGTATCGTTCTCTCCCGCACGAACAGGAAACTGGCGTGATTAATTGCTTCCTCGGCCAAGGCGGTCCCGATCTGCTCGATTAAGAGGAAGAACAGAGCCTCCGCCATGGACGATGATCTCAGAGCCCTCACTTTTCCTGGACAGGGAATAAGTCGGAGTGAGATAAGTGGGGATAGGGAAGATCTTCTGGGCAGGGCATTGCGTCCCACACAGGGTATCGTTCATCTCCCTTGCTGGGTTCAGCGGCGGCGCTGCCGAGCACCGGCGGCGGATGCCCTCCACTGCCCTCATTTTTGACCCCGGCAGCAGCAGGCTTGTTGGGCACCATTGGACCTCCCACCTGCTGCCATCTGCCCTCCGGACCAGTGACCGTGGCTGCTGCAGAGAGAAGGGCCGGCTTGGTCCTCTACATTGTGTTCGGTGCCGGAGGGGAGCGAGAAGCAGAGGTTGTCAACAAAGTTTTCGCCTGATTTGGGTAACTTCTGCTCTTCTCAGATTTAGGTAGTTCCCCGGCCCCGCTATTACAGAGAGGGAGTCAGATGAAGCCGGTCAAGAACAGGAAATTTCCGGCACGGCCTGGCTCCTGGTATGAGCTGTCTATTTGTAGGAAAAATATATGGCCATTCATCGGCGTATTTTAATTATAGTTAGCTTATCTGACGAAAACGCTGTTTCCCAAAAGTCAACAATGGCGTTTCCCCTACCATCTCATCGCTGAAAAATAGTCCTTCTAAATCGGAAATAAATCACCAAAGAGACGTTCATCTTTCAGCCCAAGATAGACGCTCTAGTGGTCTAAATTTTTTCGTGATTGTGTCTAATAATTGGATATTTATTATAAAGGACTGGTAATTTATAGAGGTTTTAGTATTTCTCAAGAAGGGCAGATGGATAACACAAAAATAGGAACGTAATTTTGTGAATTCTTTTTCTCACAATCTTCACGCGAACAGGAATTCGATGGCTCATCAAAATCTCTCCAGTCCTTGCAAAGATCAAATTTTGGTTGATATGTAGATCCCCAGTCTTAAAATCTAAGACCCATATTCTCTTGTTTTTTGTGTGATTCTCTAGCTCAACTCTCTTCCTCAGGTTAGTGTTCGAAACCCCGCTTCCTCGGTCAATCTCCTCTCTATCCTCTCAGTCCTGCGTCTCTCTCCATAGTTCATGGCTGCCCTTCGCAGCTCCTGCAGGCTCCAAGAGGCTCGTAAAGTTCTGCCATGGCCACCCGGGCTTTGACTAACTTTGCGAGATACCATTCTAGGAAAATAATTTATCGTTCGCTGTGTGGTTTCGGTTCCTACGATCCCTACTTAACAAAGGTTCACTATTCCTGACGTCCCCCCTTTCCGGAAATCATGCGGCGGACGAAGTATGGGCAACTAGATGAAGAAGGCCTCGTACCTCTGCGTAGGGGGAGTTCGCCGCCGGGACCTTGCTATCGCAGCTCAGGCGAGCGGAGAAGGGAACGGCCTCGCGCTGTGGAGAAGTATGAGAAAGATGGGCTGTACCGTCGTCGAAATGTGTTCGTTGACTCCCCTCTCTGCACCAGGTTACTCCCACAACGCCTCTTTCGGACCTCCGCTCCATTAAATAGGAGGCTCAGAGATGCGGCGATGGCAAAAACGCCTCTTACCGTGTGTTGCCGTCGCCGCGGACGATCGAAACCGTGGAAGGAAGAGTGGAGAGGAATGCAGCTCGCCGCCGGTCGATTCCGTGTCCTGGTTGGCACCCACATGAGGAAAGTCAGAACGGAATACGTCGCGATCGATTGCTAGCCGCCTCTTCATTTGATACCAGAAGAAAGGACTTTGGCTCTGGTGCTCCTCCAATCGGATCTTCGGAGGAGGAATTTCTTGTAATAAAAAAATCCATTTTGGAGTCCACCAAGGTCGACGATTGAGAGGCTAGGAAGGAACCGTTGACCGAACCAGCAAATGGAGTGGACCAGCAATGAAGCAGTTCAACGTGTTATAAAGCGTTTGACTTCCTGATGAGACAAATAAAGCTCTCTTCTTCTGAGGCGCATCAGAATTAATGATGGGAGATAGCTGCAGTATAGGCATGCTTCGAAGAAATAGAAGAGAGCGCCGTAATGAATTGCAGAGATGCTAGAGCTGGTTTCATGGAGTTTGTTTGATCGAGAGAAAACGTGACACATCACAAGAAGAGGGAAGGAAAGGGAGCAACCGACGGGGAATAACCCGGAAGCTGCTGAACCTGGGTCCAACCACACAATAAGAGGACGGATGACTCCTTGTATGATAAGTTAGAATAATAAACCGGTGGAAAATTGTAGAGTTTGTATAATTTTAAATGAGTTGAGCTTTAATACCCCTTTCATTGCCCGATGCATTATTTTCAGCCGAATGATGTCAACTGTTCCGTCCAAAACTCTGAGTGACGGATCTATGGAAAGACGTCTTCTCACATAGAATGAGGACTCGTTCGTCTGGGCAAATGCCGTTATGTTACAGATTTGTGACTATCTGCCGGACAGTGAGTTCTGGGTGGCCCTTTCTCAAGCTAGCAGCATATTAAATCATAGATCACTGTGGCCCTGTTGGCATGATGTGGGTAGGGCAAGTAGCCTGTAAAGCCAGCTGCAGATTGACCCCAGCGATGGTACGTTGCCTCTCGATGACTATGATGTGGACCAGTCGGATTAGGATGCTTGAGTGGATCAAATGGGGAAAGTAACCATCCATTGCGCAGTTTAGCACGAAGATGTCTACGATCGAGTCTTGGACAGTCAGGCTGAGCTCAGACTTCACATGGACTTGGCACATTGCTTGTATATGATCTGTTATATGAGGCTTATAATAGATATCCAGACTGGGGCTGAGTTTGGTGGGTCACCGCCTGGTGGTGGCCCGAGCAAGGATCATCTTTGCTCTTAAGGAATGCAGCTTATGCTTCCCGTTGCAGACAGAGTCTCCGACGTGTTCTTCAAGCGACGAGCCATGTCTTACGTTCCTCGCCTTCCCATCCGCCCTTTCTTCGCCCTGCAGGGTTGTTGATTGCATCTGATGCAATCGAGATAACTGAACGCCCATTTCTCTACCAACATAAACCAAATTTCGGCACGGTTTGTCTAGGATCCGTTTTGAATCTGCCTCCAAGGAAGGGAGATTCTGCAGGAAAGAAGATATGGACGGGGGAATCCTGCTGCAAAGGAAGAAAGCTCGTTGGAGGAGATTCGTGTCTTATCCTCTTCGCGGCAGCCCGGTTTCGTCTGCTGGGCCGAGTTACGCTTCCTAATAGCTAACCCTGGTTAGAGATTATGTGCTTCTGGGGAAATTTCTTTTCCTCGCTCGATATCTGTGAACAACTTTTGTAAAGTGCACTTCGTAGATCACTACCAGTGATAAATGTAGGAGTTGGTACTCGGAACCACGTAAATATCACGTGTCACGTGTGTGGTATAACAGTTCCAGTGCTTGTAGCAAGTTTCATAAATCTAAATGATTAGAAGAATAGTTTTATTTAAACAGAGCATTTAAAAGTTGTCCAAAACCTTTTACTGTAACAAGTTTATACGTGAACGAAAGTTGACAGAAGGGTACCTAAGGTTGAAAACCTAACAAAGTGATAGAAACTTCAGGTTGCAGATCAAATTCATACCTTGAGTTGACGGCTACGCAGTTAGAATTAGAAATGAAGTACAATATTGAAACGTTCGATGGTGGTTAAGATTTAAGCGTTAAGGCTGCAACAAGGTTTGTATGTCGTTAAAGGTAAGGACAGCTTAACGCTGAGAGTTGAGAGATCGAAAGACAAAGAAAGACCACCTTAAATTTGACTATAGTGATTCCGACTATTGAGAGAGATGGTTGACGAACACAACCTAAGTTTGGCTCAAGCTAGTAATGAAGTGAATGACGAAGCGTCACATAAATCGTCTAAACTTGGAGCATGAGTTATTTACACTCTACTTGAAAGAGGGTAAAATTTACATGAAATAGGATAAACCTATTGGTGACACATTTACATGAGAGAAACAATATAATTGTCACATGTTTAAGGAACACTCGTGGTCATTTGAAGATGAAAATCAGGCTCTTATTTTCTTATATCCTTCACCTCCATTCTATGAACATTTTGAAACTACTATGGTTTATAGGAGAGATAATATATTTATTGAAGAAATCAAGAAATTCATAAATTCATCAAATTGAAAACGAATGTTTTAAAGACTTGTGGAGAAAACCAGGCCGATGGCATCATTGTTAATGAAGATAAGGAAAGAAGGGTAAATAAAGATGCATTGCCTATAGCTATCTGAGGGAGTTAGTATAGATTGGCATTGCGTGCAGTTGGGGAACAGCTCATCTGATGGCGGGTTGCATTGTTGCGTGGTTGTAAACGAATTAGAGGAAACCTTCCTATGGTGAGAACAGTTCATAAAACTACAAACCCATTCAAAATATTTCAGCAAAGCAGAAAATGTTAAAAAGGGAACGTAATACTCATGACAGAGTTCGTCTTTAACAAGTTGGCTGTTCAAGATAAAGAGCTTTTTATTTCGTGTCAACCAAAGGTACCAATGTGTATTTATTCCTTTTTTGTATTCCCGCTACATCTAATTTATAGTTTTGTGAAGTTTGCTGCTTTCCTCACACAGATTGCGGGGTTATGCCTGAGCATCTGCACGAGGTTTTCTGGCATTTCCACCGAGAAGGCTGTTGCTAGATTGGTTAGATTGCAGATGCCGACGACAGCTTCGAGATTTTTCACACCGGACCAGATTCAGTTGGCATAGGCTCGGCATAGCATTCGCTGAAAATTCCACGTATTGAAGATCCATCATGTCTACGATGCGCAGCTCCCTGAGCATCGGAAAACCTTTGAAGAAAAAGAGCTTCGAGGGGAGATATGCTTTAAGAAGGACAAGGGACACCAACTTGGGGAGGACCTGAAGGAGGGGAAGTGGGTCGTGTATCAGCTCACACACATGCTAAATGTAGATATGCCAAGTTCTGGTGGGAGGAGAAACATTTTGGCAGAGCTCCTCCCTTCAATCTTCCCCGTAAGGGAAGTTTCTTAAGAGACTGAGGTGGAGACAGTTCATTCAGATCCAATTCATCAGTTTTATTTTCTGTTGAAG